CCCAATCAGTTTTCAATTAATAAAAATCTATAGAATTCACTAATGTAATAATTTCTTTTATGTCTGAGTAAATCTTTTAGGTACAATACTTAAGGGTATATGATTATTTCTTTTTATTCTATGTTTTCTTATTATAACTACCTATTTTATATGATTTAAGAAATAGGAAATTTAAGCACTAATCTTTCAAATCAAATTATTGTTTGTTATATTTATGACATTGTGCTAAAGACCTAGGAGAAGACAAAAAGTAAATAAAATCAAAAGTAAGTAAAAATGACTTTATGAAGTAGCACAAACATAAGGGAGTTTGTTAAAATAGAATACACAATGTATGTAGGGCCCTAAATAAGAGTAGAACTATTATATTTTTCTAGAATTCTAAAACATATACCATTAAGAAAAGATCACTTTGTTATGAACTATGTTTATCAGGGGATTCATTTAGATGACAGGAGAGAAAAATTTTCATTTTTTTTAACTAATCTGTGTACTTACAATTACCATGGCCTTGGATATTTCTTGAGGCCAGTTACATTTGGCAAGATTTAATAATAATTAAGCCATGGGTTTTCATACATTATTTTTTCCATGGATTATATTTTTATTCATATGAATTTCTTAGAATTAACTGAATGAGACTTCCTCAATACAGGTAAAAGCCAAACATGATTGCAGTTTTTAAAAACCATAATTGTAAGCTTTTGTGTTTTAAGTCATATTGTTTTAATCTAATCATTGGAGCTATAGAATTTCATCTAAAGCCTTATTACTTCTTTTGAATATTTTGTTTTGAGTTGGTAATTTTGCAAGAGTGGTTTATAATTTCTCAAGTTGCAACAGGACTTTTCTTCATGGAAATAAGTAATTCTCTTTCTTTTTATTTATTTATTTATTTTTGATTTGTGTAAATTTAAGGGATATAAGTGCAATTTTGTTTTGTGGATATATTGCGTAGTGGTGAAGTCTGGGCTTTTAGTGTATTCATCACCTGAATTATGTACATGGTACCCATTAAGTAATTTCTTACCTCTCACTCCCGCTTTCCACCCTTCAACCCTTCCAAGTCATCAACCTCCAGTGTCTATCATTCCATATTCTGTCCATGTGTACATATTATTTAGCGCCCACTTATAAGTGAGAACATGTGCTATTTGCCTTTCTGTTTGAGTTACTTCACTTAAGATAATGGCCTCCAGTTCCAGTAATTTAATTCTTTTTCTTAAGAGTTTATACTTACTATTAAGAAAACTAGCCAAATTCAAAATAGTTATCAATCAAGCATCTTAAACACTTCATTAGTGTGACTTAAGGGGAAAAAATAGACTGGGGAGAATAGAATGAGTGGCTTGAAATTGTATGCTTTTCAACCCACACTTGATAAAGTCTGTGGTTAGAGCCCAAGAACTTAACCAAATATTAAGTTATTAGAGTATAAGATTATAAACTCACTCAGACTGTGCAGGGCAGATTCCCCTACTTAGGGAAATACACTTTTGTATTACTTCTGTGCATAAAATGTCTTAGACTAAATAAACAGTTTTTTTGTTTTTGTTTTTTGTTGCAAAATAGGGGTCTTGCTCTGTTATCCAGGCTGGAGTGTAGTGGCATGATCATAGCTCACTGCAACATTGACCTCCTGGGCTCAAGCGATCCTCTTGCCTCAACCTCTTGAGTAGCTAGGATCACAGGTGCCCACCACCACACCTCGCTAATTTTTTAATTTTTTGGTAGAGACAGGGTGTCACCATGTTGCCCAGGCTGGTCTTGAACTCCTGCACTCAAGCCATTCTCCTTCAGTCTTCCAAAGCGCTGGGATTATAGGTGTGAGCCACCGTGCCCAGCCTAAATGAATGTTTTTGAATAAATGAAAATAAACTTTTAGAGAAAATTGAAAAATTACTCTTTAGAATTTTCCTCTAAAGTCAGTACATTATGCCAGTTTTTCTTACAAAATTATTTGCTGAAGAATACCTGGTTTTATTCTGGTGGCTATATGTTCTTTGTATTTTTATTTTAAGGAGAAAATTTTATTTATTTTTATAGGACTTAAGGGCATGGGCTTTTCTCACATTAACATAGCTTTTAATTTTTTTTTAACATATTAACAGGTAGCTGTCTCATATGTGTCTTGGAATTGGGGAAAAGGAGTTTTATGTTGTGTGTTTCTTTGAGATGAGAACAGAAATAACAAAATGACAATATAGCCACAATATGTCTTTTTTTGGGTATTTTTTGTAATTAATCCTTATTTTCAGGTGATAAAGGAGGGTCTTAGGATGAAGTTTGTGTTCGTACCATTTTCTTTCAGAATTTAAATTGTGTAACAATGAAGCGAATGTATACAGCATTTATAACCTTGTTTGAAATACATTGTGGGGACTCTAAATAGCAACAACAACAAAAACTGTTTTCTTCACTGTGAAAAATGAGGATGAAGTTTTTCCATTTAGAATATTTTGCTGTTGTAATTCCAGCAGAATTATTTGATAATGGTTTATATACATAAAACTTCTAATCTCTTGCTGAGTAAAATATTATATTCTTTGCCGCCATTAGAAAATTAAAATTCTCATTGCAGGATGATATGTAAGAGCAACATTTAATATTCTAATAAATTTTATAAGAAAATATTTGTAAAAAATCTTAATAGGGATTCACTTAATGAGAAATAACTATTACCCTTAAGTCAAGATAATTGGAAATAATGTCTATTTATACATACTTACAGACAGAAGTAATCAGTTGCTCGGATTAATTGAAGTTTCTATTTCATATTTAACTTAATCACCAGTAACAGTATTTTTGTAATTCTGAAGCCTCTAAAATCACACAGAAATCTGTAAAATAGGGGAGAAAGTTCTCAAACTGGGATAAAAAATGTTCCTGGCTTTAACTCAATAATAGTCCATTAAATCCAATAGCTATGATGCAAACCTCCATGAATCAATAATTTTTCTAAAATAATTTTACTCTCACTTATTAATCTTAAGAAAAATAATCATACTTCATTTAGAATTGAGCATCAGAAACTATTATATCTAGATTTTTCTCCTTTTAATAAACTCACTCTTACCATTTTCACCATTTCTTAGTAGAGGGAATTAGTTTAGCTGGGAAGAGCTGTAGGACGTGAGTTTAGAGATTTGAAGGAATTAATGAAATTGTAGATTCAAAAAAGAATCTCTTTGTATTCACTAACAGATAACTTCCTGTGATTATGCTTATTCAGTGACTTCAGGTGGCCTTTCTTTTGCTGGCTTCTTTGTTAATTCTTTCTAATAGTAAATACTCTCATTAAAACAGTCATTCTCAAAGTGTGTTTCCTGGATCAGTAGCATCAACACCACCGAGAATTTGTACTTCTAACAAATGCTCGCTGTACACACAGTCCTGCTGAATCAGAAACTAGGGTGGGACTCAGCAGTCTGGTTAAATGGACTCTCCAGGTGATTCTGATCCACACCAAAGCTTGAGAAGCAGTGTCTTCAGGAGGTCCTTGCTTTAGGAATTACAGAGTAGGAAAGACTATTGAAATCTCTTAATTTCAGTAAGTCTGCCAAATCCCCTTCAAATCCCTTTTTCTTATGGAAAATTGTTCCTCCAGAATTTTCTAAATATATGTGGCAGTGACCAAACTTGAGTTTTCTCCATGCTTTCTCCTTTCTCTAGAGCTGTTGACACAGGTAATAGGAGACAGAGTTAAACAGAAGTGCTGATGGTGAGACTTAGAGTGCTCAAAGATTTGAAACTTGGCTGTTTCCAATTTAGGAAAGAAGTCATCCAATATTATTCTCTAATAACTATTTAATTGCTTAAAAAATTAAAAAGATGCCATAGTTTAGTTTTAAACCTTAGTAATATATTACAAATTATTTTATGGTTAATTACCTTTTTTTCATTTATAAATGTTTGCCTCATGTGTAACACAATGTTACCTGGCATTGTGGCAGAACTTGTATTATTTTGTAACATTGTTTAATTGCTAACTGTACATATCTTCTGTGTAGAAGAATGTGTGCTCATCTAATATATTGATTTTGATTTGTTTAATGTATCAGAATCACATTTTGTGAGTGTAAATATGGGTGTGTTCAAAGTAGATTGAAAAAAGTGAACATTATTGACCTCTCACTGTGTGCTGGGTGCTTTTCTGTGTAGTTTACATTCCTTAGCTGATTTAATCCTCACTGGGTAGGTACTGCAATCATCTTCATTTTGCAGACATAGAAAGCCTAATGTGCCTAAAGTGACCTAGCTAGTGTATGATAGAGCCAGGATTCTAGTCTAAGCAGTCTTACGCCAAAGCACTTTTTTTTATCTAAGACAGATAAATCTGTTACTGTGTTGTTCATTTGTCTGAGCAGAAATATTTTCTTCATCCCCATTTTTTACTTTTACATGTACCAAAGTATTTTTAAGAATGTCAAATAGTGCTTATGTATGACTATTAACATTCAACAGTGAACTATATAGTAATACAGCAGCTTGTAAAGAAAAGTAAATGGGCTTATGAAATGGAAAATGCCTAGTTTGGCACAGCATTCAACTGTATTACAGTGAATTTCAGTTATTCCCTTATTTGTCCAGATTTCAGGTAATACCTCCTTGAGAACAAGAGTTAAATTATTTGTAACTGGCACGGTGACCCACATTGTCAGTGTTCAAAATCATCTTCTTTGATGGATAGATACATAGAGAAGGCATACAAGAACTCGTTTACATGACACTCATAGAGCTATGAACAGTCTTTGGCCCTTTTGGGTGGCATAACCCCAATCTTTTTCATAGTATAGTCATTCCAATTTAGCTGAAAACTTTCAGTAGCCTTATGACTATATGTGAAACTGTACGGGGTGTCCCTTATACATGAAGCTTGCTATTATTCCATGGGATAGAAAGGACATTTATGATTTATAAGATTTTAGTTTAGAAGTAAAGTTTATTTGACATTTTATATTGAATTATATTTATTAGTTTTTATGTCTTAATTTCAACAGCATCACTGCAAAACTTGAAAGAGCTTTAGAAAAAGTTGCTCCTCTTCTTCGTGAAATTTTTGTAGACTTTGCCCCATTCCTATCTCGTACACTTCTTGGCAGTCATGGACAAGAGCTATTGATAGAAGGTATGATTTCTCTCTCTATTCTAATTACTTTAGTTTCCTATAATGTATGTATTAATCATGGCATAATTTGTGCTTCTAGAGGAATATATATTTCCAAAAGAATGTAAAGGCATTACTTCACAAATTTTAATAAGATATTCAATATGTTTTCTCGTCACTCATTTTTTTTTAAATAACATGTTTGCATGGTCAATACCAATAAGAGAACTTTGAAGATGAAGAACATTGAAAAGGTGTCAGAATGGGAGGCTTTGGCTCTTTAATCCATTTATCAGGGCTGACGTATATCCTGTCATTAAGATAACCTGTTTATTAAGCAGTGATCTCTGACATTTCCTTGTGACTCTGAGAGCCATGCATCTTTAAGTGATTTTTCTTATTCACATAACATTTGTAGTGTGAGAATCCTTAACTAAGAAGACATTAAAAATCTAGAGAAATACTTAAAGAATTGATGAAGCCGTTGTCTCCTCAACAGCAGCTTAAATAGAGTAAGGAGCCAAATGAGATAAATTTACTAGGTGAGTGGCTTTGAAAAATATGGTTAATCAAAATCTTATTTCTTTTTAAAAAATGTTGTTTTACAAATATTTCTGAGCTTCAGAAAGAATTAGACAATATCAAGATGATCTGTAGGTGAATAACGGCTTTAGATGCCATTTCAAGTAGTCCTGGGATTTAGCATCCTTGTATATCTTTTTTGCTTTTCACTTCCTGTTTACTGCAGAAGAAAGAGAGTTTTCCTGTGCCTGTTCTGTTATCGTCACAACTGCTTCTACTTAGTGTTACTATTAGGAAGACTCAGCATCTTGGAGCAGACTTTGAATCCTAGTTCAACTACTTTCTTAACTTTGTGGCCTTTGTGAATTACTTAGCCACTTTGTATCTTAGTTTCCTTTCTATAAATTGGAGTCAATGATAGCACTTTAGGGTTCTTGTGAAGATTAAATTATGCAGTGCATTTGAAGCTCTTAGAATATTGTCACATAATGAGCTTCTCAGGTTTCCAAAAGTACTGAGTACCTTCTGGGCTAAGTACTATGTTACATACTTTTGATATATAAGTAAACAGACAAAGATCCTTTTCTTCAGATGGAGCATATATTCTTACGAGGACACAAAATCAATAAGCATTAAACAAAATGAATAATTAAATTATATAGGGTGTTAGAATATAGCAAATGTTATGTAAAAGGATAAATACAACACACAGAGAATTGGGATTACAGAATGGCAAGGTTAGGTTGAAGTTTAAAGAGAGTGGTCAATTTTAAATAGACCTCATGGTAAAAGTTACATTTGAGCAAAAACTTACATAGTAAGTAATAAAACTTCCTTAATAAGTGCCTTATAGCTTATTAGAAGAGGAGTGTTCTGTGCAGAGAGAACAGTCAGTACATTGACCCTAAAATGAGGATAGAAAGATGTTCTTGGTATGATCTACCAACAGGAAAAATGCCAGTCTCATGTGAACCAGAAGGACAGTAGTCGAATATTAGGGCCAGAGAAGTAGTGGGTTATTTGGCTTTAACTAGTGTGTTGTAGGGAGGCTGCTGATGTGTTAAGTAGGAATGTCACCCTGGATGCTACTATTGTCATTATGATACTCGCACCTAGAAAGCGAAGTATTAAATGCTCTGAAGAATGGGATTCTGAGAAGAACCGTGCTAATTTAAAGCAGCCCCAAAATGAACTTTACAAGTTCTTGGAAGCTTAAAAACTATTGCTTGGCCACAGATTGTGTGTATAATTTATATAGCTTTGTTCTAGATGTGTATGATTGGTTACACAAAATCATATATTCATTCATTCATTCAAAACAGGAGAAATATTCCTTATGGAGCTTACAGTTGAATGAGCAAAAAGACATAAAAACCAATAATTAAAATTAAATAGGATATGTGCTATAAAAGGTAGAGTGGGAAATGAGACTAGATGGCCTACTGACCACTTGCAGGGCACATATTCTTCTAATGGGGTCAGTGAGGTAGTTGTGTATACCTGGTCTTACTCCTGCTGCTATAAAGCCACTTACTCATATTTATGAGGACACACGTTTGAAAGCGTTATGTTCCCTGCTTCTACCTAACTCCTGTAACAGCTCAACCCAGACTTCTGAATTCCAGACATAGTTGAAGTTACCTAGCATAGACATCTAAACCCTTATACTCCAGGGATACCTCAAACTCTGTTTATCCAAAGTTTGTTTTCCCTCCATTTACTTTTCCTTCTAAATTTATTTATTTTGTCATTAGCATTACTATTAATGCAAACATTTGAGGTGAAAATTTGGTTTTTCTTTAGCTCTTTTCTCCTTCAACTTTAATATTTACAATTACTTCATGAGAATGAATAATTTCCGAAAACAATATTTAGAGGCTAGTTTTTCAAATATTATTAACATTACAAATTTTATATCAAGCCATGTGTAAAAACCTTCCACAGTAGCCTAAATATTATGTTAGCTGAAAGTGGTGGCATCATAGTTACGGAGTCTGAAAGGTACCAGGTTATCAGTTGGTCCTTCTTGAGTTCCTTTTTTTGCTTTTAATTCTTTTGATTTCCTGTAGTTAGATGCTGTTGAGGAGCAAGAATGCTGGTTATTGATATTTTTATTTTCATGCTTTTCTGTAACATGTGTTACTTTGTTAAAATAAAGAAGTTCAATAAACATCATTGAAAAAAACAAATCTTAAATGTTTCCTCATTCCCTACAAGATAAAAGCCTTTTATTTTTTCTGTTGCTATCTATCTTTTCCTAAAACGATTTGATAGGTTTTACAGAAATGTATAAATACTGACCAAAGACATAATGAAATAAAACAAGGAATAAAGTTAGTCATGTAATAATGTTAGTAGTGAGTCCTGCACTGTTACTAAAACTAAGACAAATTCTATACAAGTTTTCTAGCCGCCAGAGCAAAGGCACAATTAAGTTATAAGACTCATGTTACTGGTTCTTAAGTGACAGTTTGTGGCAATTTTACGTTAACTGCTCTGTATTGGAAAATCAGGAACCCCTGTGTGTAGCTACTTTCCAGAATCTTCCATGGCCACACATTCAAATTGTTTCTTATTTATTTCTTCTCATCAATGCACAGAGAAAAATGACAGAGTAATTGAGAGCTATTTTTTTTTAGCTTCTCTGTTTACCTCAGATATTCTGAATTGAGTGGAAAGACCATTAAGAATAAGCCTTCATTGTTATTAGTACATCCAGGTGAACTTGGATTTTCTTTTTTAATGTAACTATGCTAGAAATGAAATATTGGAACAGGTTAGATATTTAAAAGTTCATTTTGTGTTCCCTTGGCAGAATACAATTATATCTTGTAACTTTCTATGCTCAAAGAATTTTAATACATCCTACTTTTTAATCTATATGGATGTAATATTTATGTCTTTCTTTGCTGATGTTAAAATGACTTTTCTTTATAAAATGATGACAGCAAATGATCGATTTTTAGGTTTTGAGTTTTGTTTTTTAAATGCCAGTAACTTGGCAGTATAAAAAGCTGACAACCCTAAAATATGATCCTTTAAATTTTGGCTAGTTCATACAACCCAAAACTCTAGAAACCATAGTTCTTTGTTTTTTGTTTTTTTTTTTTTTTTGAGACGGAATCTGTCTCTGTCACCCAGGCTGGAGTGCGGTGGCGCGATCTCGGATCACTGCAAGCTCCGCCTCCTGGGTTCCCGCCATTCTCCTGCCTCAGCCTCCCAAGTAGCTGGGACTACAGGCGCCCGCCACCTCGCCCGGCTAGTTTTTTGTATTTTTAGTAGAGATGGGGTTTCACCGTGTTAGCCAGGATGGTCTCGATCTCCTGACCTCATGATCCCCCGCCTCGGCCTCCCAAAGTGCTGGGATTACAGGCTTGAGCCACCGTGCCCAGCTGAAACTATAGTTCTATAAAAGAATGACTTTCAGTATCCCTCATAATTTGGTCATAACCCTCCCTTCCAGACCCAACTAGTCTTTATCTTCTTCCTATAAAAAAACATTTCCTAAACCTGTAAAGAGGTTCACGTACTATCACATTTCCTTGTTTTTGTACAGCTCTTCTTTCTGCATTGAATCCTTTTTTTTTTTTTTTAATCTCCCTGAATTATACTCATCCTTTGAGTCCATTTCAGGCTCAGTAAGCAAATTAATGTCACGACTTCTGTGCTCCTATGGTATTTTACTTATGTAATATTAATAAAAGTATTTTATACTTATTGAAATAGGAAATATCTTATTGTTTATTACCTAACTTAGATTCTGGTACATCATAAATATTCAGTGTTTTTCCCTTGTACTTGAATAGAATATTATTTTTCTTTCTTGGGAGGCCGAAGCAGATGTGTTGCTTGAGGTATTATGGTAGTTGCATAAGGAGAAGAAAGAGAAAAGGGCAGAAAGCATATGTGAAGGAATAATGGCTAAAAAACTTCTCAAATTTTAGGAGTCAGACATATGAACTGAAGCTCAACAAGCTCCCATGGGATAAATTCAGACACACACACACACAGACACATTTTAATCCAACTATTGAAAGTCAAAAATAATCTCGGAAAAAGCAAGAGAAAATTGTAATGTACAATGAGCCTCTATAAGTTATCACCAGGTTTCTTAGTACAATCCATGCATGCTGGAAGGCAGTGGGATGATATATTTAAAGCGCATGAAGTAAAAAGCAAAACAAAACAAAAAGAAACTGTCAACCAATAATACTACCTCCAGCAAAACTGTCCTTTAAAAATGGAGAAGAAATTAAGAATTTTCCAGATAAACAAGAGCTGAGAGCATTTATTACTACTAGATCTAACCTATGAGAAATGCAAAAGGGAGTCCTTGAACTCAAAAGGAGGGATTCTAAACATTAAATCAAAGCCATATGAAAATAAGGTCTGCAATAGACATATTACAAATATAAAACTTTATTATTATAATTTTGGTTCTATTGTTTTAAAAGATTAAAATCCAAAAATGTAAAAGCAAACCTATGAATCTATGCTAC